GACCATACAATTTATTTATTTTTATTTAAGAAAATCGTTTTTTCTAGTAATTTAGGAAATAATAAATTTCGATTCGAAAATTTAATGTCTTTGATACATAAAGAATCTTTCTATTTAAGCAAAAATATTTTTAAAAAACTAGTAAAATATAGACATATCAACTCCCCCAAACTTAGTCTTTGCTTGCCCTCAAGCAAATAATCAAGATCAAGCTGGAGGAGAGGTTTGAAGGTGGGGATTCAGAACTAAAACATGCATACAAAGTAAGTGAATTCAATGACCAGACCAGCATCACTCGACCAACACCACTCGACCTGGGCACTCGACTTTCACTCAGGAGTTTTGCTTGAGCAAGTGACTTAAATGCGCCACCTTTGAAGAATGGTCTACTCGACCAAACCACTCGAACACCAAGTCGAGTAGACCCTAAACCGCCTTTCTATTTTGTCGTTTTGTGTACTAGAGTTTTTTTTTTTGCTATAAATAGACCTCTTAGGGCTTTGCCCAAAGAATCTCGTTTTTATCCACTGAATAATATTTTATGCAAGATTTTGTAATCCAAATTACTTTTGATCCTTTGAGTATTTGCAATTATTTTCTTCAGCAATCTTGTTCATCTCATCTTGATCTATCATTTATGAAGTTTTTATCGATTTCTGGGTTGATGTTATTTTCTGGGTTTGTGTTCTTGAGCATGTTTGAGTAGTGATTAGGGTTCTTAAGGATGTGATAGATTATGTGTGGAATCCTTGGTATTTTTAGGTGGTTAAGTGTAGAATTGCTTGAATCCCTTCTCGATTAGTAGTACTTATTGCTTATTCCTTTCTGATCAACTGGGATTTTGATTCCAGACATTTCCACACCCACAAGGTGTTTGATGAAATGTTTGAACAAAGTAATTCCAGAGATTTACGTTTCTAGCCCAAGGAATTGGATGTTTAGAGTGTTTATTGGCTTTAATAGGTTGAATCTTAATGCCTGTTTTGCTAGATTTCGCTAATGATGATTAGGTCTGGAACTGGTATGTTGTTGATGATTCTGTCAAGAGAGTGAATTGATATGTTGTTGAACCTGTTGTCTAGGGATATCTTATTTGAGTTTGTTAACCACCAAATTAGACTATGGAGACTGCTATAATCCATTACTCCATCCCCAGGACCTTTTATCTCATTTGATTTACCTATTGCTTACTTGCTCTGTTTACTGCTTAGTATTGTTAGTTCTTTCTCTTTATGCATGATCGTTCATGTTCTATAGTTTTATCGTTTTTATGCATGATCACTTAGGATTGATAGATAACCAAAACAATATCCTGCTTGGCTTGACTTAGTTATTTCTGAGCATATCTTGATTGATAGTAACTGCACTTGATTGGATTGATAACCTTAATTGCTACAATGACGTGATAGTAATCTAGGGTAATTGATAGTAAAATCCTAGTATCAATTTGGCGCCGTTGCCGGGGATCGAACCCGGGTCACCCGCGTGACAGGCGGGAATACTTACCACTATACTACAACGACAATCCATGCTTAGACTTTTGCATGATTTGAAAGCAATTTCTGCTTGTGTGAGGCTTACTTGAACTCTGAAGCATTTCTATGAATTTGGACTTAAACTGATTTTAATTCTCTCGCTTATGGCATCTAAATGCATTCTCATGGTTGTCTAAAAGACTCATTCGGGTTTCCTTTTCTGCTTTGCCAATCTGTTGTTAACCCGAATGGCCATTCTCATCTTTAGAATGGTTCCCCTGCCCCAAACCTTAACCTTTTCTTTCAACCCTATGATTGATTGTGTGTGTGGCCTCTTGTTTGATAATGCTATAGGTTATGAAATCTTGAGAGTATCGAGAACGACAAGGCTTTAACTCTTGCTTTAAGCTAGATTCTGGAACATCATTAAGACTAGCTGCTAGGTTGGGAATGAAAGATTTAGGTGGTTAGATTGAATATCTTAGGTTGATCAGTGGGTTTGGGAAAAAGAGAAAGAAGGGAATGAAAAGAAAGGTAGATCAGTGAGTTTTAAAAGAGTCCCTAGGGAATAAAAGTCATAAGTAAAGAAGCTCTAAATCTCTAAGTAAAAAGAGAAGATGAATAAGTTAGTTCCCCAAAAGAAAAAGAAATTTTTAAAGCCATATAAGTATTGGGAACAAAAGAAAAGTTTAAGAAAAGGTTAGAAAAGAGCTAAGTGTTAAAAGAATTCCCTAGGTGACTAGTAAAAAGAGATTGATTTTGAGGGTTGTGCTTAAAAAAGACCAAATGGTCTAGTGTTTTCTGGGAAAAGGAGAATGAAAAGAATGTGCTGAGGGTAGAAGATAGAGATCACATCTAACATGGGTAGAACATCAATAGTTGAATTTTGTAGCATAAACTGTTCTTGATCTTAGATAAATTTTGTGACTGTCATGCATTCCTTGTTCCTGAGAGAAAGCCACCAAAGAATAAAACTTTTGAAACCACCCTCAAAAAGCCTTTATTATCCCTAAACAGATTGAGATTGATTCATTTACCATTTGCGAGACTGCATCAAACACTATAAAGAATGTTAAAGAGATGTTTCATCTTGATTGTGAGTTTTTACTAATAGCTAGAAGTTGAACTAGAATCATGCATTGACATAAGTATGGAGAAGTACGAAAGAGCATATTGCTTGATTCATGCAGCTTTGAACTATCCTCAAGGACTTTAAGTTGAATCTTTTATTTGATGCTTTACTTGGTTATGAATCCCCACCTTCAAACCTCTCCTCCAGCTTGATCTTGATTATTTGCTTGAGGACAAACAAAGACTAAGTTTGGGAGAGTTGATATGTCTATATTTTACTAGTTTTTACCATGCATTTATCTCTCATTTAGTCTAGTTTCATTATTGTTTCATGTCTTTATGAGTCACTTTGCATCACTTAGCATCACTTAGAGTATTTAGGACCATTCTACATTTCCATTGCATGCATTCTTGCATTTTGGAGTTGTATCAGGTGTTTTTAGGTACTATGGAGCTGTGGAGGATCATGCACTCGACCAGCAGTACTCGACCAGCACTTGGGACCTCTATCCGAGCATATGTGTTCGAGCACAAGTCTTCAGACCTCAACCATTCTACTCGATCAAAGCACTCGACCAGAGCTCCTGAACACCACTTGAGCAGCTGTAGAGAGACCACCAACCTACTCGACCAGAGCTCTTGAACACCACTCGAGCAGCTGCAAGGAGACCACCAACCTGCTCGACCAGAGCTCCTGAACACCACTCGAGCAGCTGCAGGGAGACCACCAACCTACTCGACCAGGACCACTCGACCAGGGTACTCGACCTGCACTCAAGAGTTTTGCTCGAGCAAGTGACTTAAAGGCGCCACCTTTGAAGAATGGTCTACTCGACCAAACCACTCGAGCACCAAGTCGAGTAGACCCTAAACCGCCTTTCTATTTTGTCGTTTTGTGTACTAGGGTTTTCTCTCTTTACTATAAATAGACCTCTTAGGGCTTTGCCAAAGGATCTCGTTTTTATCATTTGAACAATATTTTCTGCAAGATTTTGTAATCCAAATTACTTTTGATCCTTTGAGTATTTGCAATTATTTCCTTCAGCAATCTTGTTTATCTTGCCTTGATCTATAACATATGAAGTTTTTATCGATTTCTAGGTTTGAGTTATTTTCTGGGTTTGTGTTCTTGAGCATGTCTGAGTAGTGATTAGAGTTCTTGAGGATGGGATATATTAGGTGTGGAATCCTTAGTATATTTAGGTGGTTAAGAATACTATCTAGAATCAACACTAAGAATACTATATAGAATCATAATATACATCAAATTATATATGTGAAAAGAGAATTTTATATCTTTCAAACAGTCAAAATAAATGAAAAATTTGACGTTAGAATCCGATGTTTGTGAATAGGAATGAGTTTATATATGAGATTTGTTGTATACAAAACAATTTTACATCCACCAAAACATGGTCAAAAAAACCTTATGACAAAACATTGCATAAAATTTTCTGATGTTCACTTTAATAAAAAGATTATGCAACTTATACAAAAAGAATTGAGTATTCAAAGATAGGAAGGAGAAATGATATACGATATATCTTGAGAACTAATTCACAATCGGGTATATTATATATGAGTCAATATAAGGCGAAAAGAGAGTAAATATCGGGAAACAACGAGTGAATCATAGAAGATAACGAAAGAAATTGTAATGAAAAGTGTAAATTTTTTTTTTACTATATTGGAAAGATAATGCACATGAATAAAGTAAAAAAATATTAGAATTCAAATGATTAAATTTATACTCAAAGATTCGCATTGATAAAAAAATTAAATTAAAATTCTGCGCAACGCGCGGGTACATAATCTAGTAACATTTAACTAACTAGCCTGACAACCATATGCTTTGTAGTTTGTCGAAGAAAAAGTACAACAAAGCTATATGAAGAATTTCTATGAGCAGATTGTATTTCTTGGACAAATATGGGTTCGATCAAGATTTGTTTTCTGGGAGTACCAAAAGCAAGCATGACGCCATTATGAACATAAAGTTCTGGAATCCTAGAAAGAGGCTTCATAATTTTAAAGGGATATGATAGATTCTTTATGGTCTAACATTCTTGCCAATCCATTATCCTCATTCTGTTCTATATTCGTAATCTTTAATAAAAAATATAGCTCCATGAGCAAAAGCTCATATCATGATGAATCCTACTACAATGTATTGGTATTCAAGATCATCATTTTCAATTTAGGCGTTATAAAGCTATTGTATTATTATTTATGCTTCTAGGAATTTTGTATGCTTCAAATATCTCCATATATTTTGTAGATGTAAACAAAGCTTTAAGCATAGTTTTTCTTGGTTTGTAAACATATTGCTTAATGGAAGTGGAAATAAACTATGGTAGAGCTGATTAGTATTGGAGTATTCATATTCAAAGGTGAATGTGGGTTTTTGACTTCTTACAACTTCACCAATCTATATATATACTTGTTGAAGAACCCACATGAAATGACCCTTTCTTAAAGGTTATCTTGGACCTGAGGGGTAATCATTTTCGATAAGGGAATTGGAATAGGGGATGAGCCAGTCAGTGCCAGCATGAGGATAGGCTTGATAATTAAAATCATGTATTGGCATCTCCTCCTTTTGCCATTCTTCCCATCTCTCAGCTAAACCATCTCCTTCCAGCATTCTCACCACTTCTGACATCTTTGGACGTTCCATTGCAGAACTTTGAGTGCAGAGCAGAGCCATTTGAATCAGCTGCTCCACTTCTGCTTCCACGTACTTTCCTTCAAGCTCTGCGTCTACAAGGCTTTCCAACTTCTTCTCTTTCAACACTTCTTTCACCTAATAACACCCACAAAAGAAAATACTAGTCTTCATTGCAAAATGTGGACTCAAAAAGATGATTGGGAACCTTTCAAAAAAACATACCCAGTCGAGTAACATGATATCATCATCATTTGCAAGCCGAGCAAGATCGAAAGCTTTCTGTCCAGTGATGAGCTCGAGAAGCATGACCCCATACCCAAAAACATCAGTTTTCTCAGAAGATTTTCCTGTCGAAAGGTACTCAGGGGCTATATGGCCAATTGTACCACGTACAGCAGTTGTCACATGGGAGTCGTTATAATTCATTAATTTTGCGAGCCCAAAATCTCCAACAACAGCTTCAAACTCTTCATCTAACAATATATTCGCAGCTTTCACGTCCCGGTGAATGATTTTCTGGTCACAGTGATCGTGTAAATACGCGAGCCCTCTTGCTGATCCCAGAGCAATATGCTTTCTTTTTGGCCAATCAAGTGGTGGATTGCCTTCAGGACGCTCTAAATAGGAAAAATCAAAGATAAGATACTTTATCAACTGACCAATTAAAAACTAGTCAAAACAAAACTATATTAGGATCAAAGTCTTAAACCCCTGCCTTTGGTATGCAACATGCAATCGAAGAACTAATAACAAAGAACGAGGTACCTCTTAAACACGAAGCAACACTTCCATTAGCCATGTAGGGATAAACAAGTAATCTTTCAGTTGGAGTCATGCAAAAGCCACGAAGCCGAAGCAAGTTCCTATGAACGGCCATACTGATCATCTCAACCTCGGTTTGAAACTGCAGTTCCCCCCCCTTGGTACGTTCTTCTTTTAGCCTTTTCACAGCCACTAGATTGCCATCGGCTAAACGTCCTTTATACACTTTACCAAAACCACCTCTACCCAATACATTTTTATTGCTAAAGTTATCTGTAGCAACTAACAGTTCACGCAGGGTAAACCTTTTGAGTTGTCCTAAATGAACCTCTGGGTCTTCTTCAGCTGCAAAGTTTGGTCCAACAAAACAGATAAAAATCAGCCAAAGAAGCTTCAATGGGAAAAATAGATGAAGAGAGTTGACTAACCAGGTACATCAAAAAAGTGGTCCTGTGGTTTTCTTCTGAGCCACCAAGCAAACGCAATGGCTGGAACAGCAAATAGAAGTGCTGCACCTGCAGCAACTCCCCCTGCTATTGCTGCAGTCATTTGACTCCCTAATAGTATGAGATAAACACAAAGTTTTATTAATACAGACCTCATCCGCAGTGATATAGTGAAGAGTTTCTAGGGGAAATAGTTAATTAATCAACTAAGTGGAACGTTTGAGCAATGTGAAAGAGCTAATTCATATTTCAGATCTAAGAGCTTCAAAAGTGTCAAATAGATCTTAGTGTCCCACGTTGCCCACAAATTAACCATAAACACTATTTTTCTTATAGTCCATTAACCCTTTTTTATACTTCAGCAAATTAGCAAGTTCACACTTTTTTCATAAATTCCTTTTTCAGCAATGTCCATGACTTTCTGTTTCTACTAAGTCAAGCTGCCAGGTTCAAATCTATGTCATACTTGCTAATATTTTACGAAGTCAGCTTTTTTTCATTAGCAGGTTATCAATCCTAGTAAAGACATGTGAAAGATATAACGAAATATTATTTTCAAACAATAGAACCAAGAACCAGTCAACCAAATACATATCCACTAAATGCCTTTCCACATTTGAATGTGCCACCATAAATTAAAAAGAATATAGTGGTTTAAGATCATACCACTGTAGATAAGATTTTAAAAAGTATTTTTGTGCCAACCAAAATGGTACTCATAAAGGTGTGAGTGGATGCGAACGGAGATATTATGTTAGGCTAAATGTGGAAATGCCATTTTACCAGCGCCCAACCATTAAATATAAGAATGTAGAAGGAAGTTGGACACTGAAGAATATAAAATAACCAACAAGAAACACAGAGAAGAAAATGGAAGGAGCAAAAAGAAAACCTGAAGGTGGTGGTGAAGTAGGAGAGGTAGAAGTAGGTGGAGGTTCAGGAAGCGCCGTTAAGTTATTATTCATAAAACTGCAGATAACTTCCAAACAATTAGTAATTCATTCTGACCACTCCATCAAGAATAAAGCTAGGAACAGGAAGGAAAACCTAATAGGAGTGAAGAGCGAAAAGGAACCATTCACAGGAATATCTCCAGTGAGCCGATTGTTTGAGATATCCCTGCATTTCAGGATGATACCATTTGTCAGAGCTCAAGATTGCACCAAAAAATATTAAAAAAATGGACAGAATATTTCAGGAGAGACAAAGTTACACTCACAGAACTTGCAGCTGCACAGCAGTCAAAGTCATTGGAATTTCTCCTGATAAGCTATTGTTATTAAGACGCCTAACAACATAAAGTAGAATGTCAAACATTGAAACTAACCACTAAAGGAATTCAAAATGACTTAAGCATCCAGCAAAATACGATTTATCTATAAAAAATAATAAGAAAAGAAATTAGAGCGGATGTAAAATCTTATCCAACTGCATAGACCTTTTAAGGAAATGACTGAATTTGTTTATTAGATTTGTACACTTAGCCTCTAACTACTTCTGAAACATTCACGCTACACATGTACACTGAATTTTTTGATGATAGGCGATTAGCCGGTCTTTCTTTCGATAGGACCCTGCCTCGGGTTCTGTCCAAACCTACGGCAGGTTATTATCAAATGTCTCCTTACAGGCACGAAGTAATGACATACAACTAAATTTATCAATTCAATAGCTTCCACTGAGGATCACAATGTGGCAGAGGAGTATGAGGTGTATGTTCACACAGTCAATCAGGGTGAATTCTATATGTGGTGTGATATCATATATCTTTTACTAAAAGAATTCGAAATTCTTCTACTTGACTAAATGTGGGGTAGCAAAATAAGGCTGCCTGTAACAACCCTCTCCCTGAAATAATTACACTAGACCGTGACCTTCATTAAGGTCTGGAATGTTAGACGCAATAGTTTTTTAGCAAATAAATACAATAAAACTTTGAAACTGTAAACAATGAAGCTGCATTTTGAAGCGGTGAAGAGAAGAAGGAGAGTATGGTACATACAAGAACCGGAGTTTTCCTAGTTTGCCAAGAGACGAAGGGATGGGACCACTTATGCTGTTCGCGTAAAGATCCAAGCTTACTAGTTCCATCAAGTTGCCAAGCTCCTCAGGTATCTCCCCAGTAATGTTATTGCTATAAAGCTCCCTGTCATTAAGCTTTGCTTAATTATTATTGTATATTGGAAAATCTCTAAACTATTTTACCAGAAGTTCATGTTACAGAAAACATAATGAAGTATGTAGCAAACAAGATACCCAGTAATTTTGAAGAACTATACTAATCGTAGAGGGCTAAGATACATGAAAGTAGAAACTATATTTGTAAGCCATTCAGATTCATTTATTTTCAAGAAAACATTTCGCAGCAGGAACACAAATATGCAGAGTTGAGATCACCTGTAGAGAAATACCAGATCCAAACTCTCCAGTTACTTATCGAATAGACTTTGAGGAAACCATTTGACATAATGCCATGGTTCTAGGTCCCTATCTAATCAAACTGACAGATGATTATGAAGGATTCCAGTAACAAGGCTCGAGAAGCCTAGCTAAAGAGATCTACATTGATTAGTGATTACCAAAGATATCAACAATAAATCTACAAAATATCTAAGAGAACTTTTTTATTTATTTCAGATGCATCAACCACAAGAGTGCACACACATAGTGTGAGAAAAAAATTGTTTATACACAATTCTCTTTTAAAAGCAAACGCACAACTGAAAATTTCTCCAAACGGAAGTAATGTGAAGATTCAGGAAGTCTATCATATGTCACAGTCATTGAACAAGAAAGATGAAGCATATGCATAACAAATTCAAGTCCATCGTATAGAATTAATCGACATTGAGGAAGAGATGACTTACAAGTACTGCAAGTTAGAAAGCTGACCAAGTTCTGGAACCAGTTTTCCAGATAGTTTTGCATTCCCAAGGTCACTAAGCAAACATCAAACAGTAGATTCCCAAAGGGATTATTGAATCATTCATATAGAAAAAAAACCAGCAGCAGAGAGAGAGAAACATAACATACACACGAGTAACTTTATTCTCAGGATTGCAAGTAACATGAAACCATGTACATGGAGTAACAAGAGTAGCATCCCAGCTTTGGAGTACATTGTTTGCTGGGTCACCTGATGATAAACTGTTTCTCAGCTGAGTCAAAGCATCACCTGTTTGTATTACAATCAAAACAACAAACAAACAAACAAAAAAGTTACCAACTTTCGAATCTAACAACTACCAAAAAGGAAAAAGGAAGGGACTTTTCATGAGAGAAGCAGAAAAAGGAAGAACCTTCGACGTTTGCGGCGACTCTGAGAGTAAAATTGGAGAGTAGGAGAAGGTAAAGGAAGCAAAGGAGTGATCTTTGTTCCATTTTTGAACAAGTCATCAGAGTAAAAGCAAAGCCATTATTATTAGAGGTTTATTAAACCCAGGGACCGACCATTTGGTTGATTCAGCCGTTGACGAAGACAAACGAAATAAAGAGAGAAAGGTTTGTTCTTTGAAACGCGTATTCGACATTTGACCAAGTTTCGAAAGAAAGCAAAATCGAATTCTCGACGAAACCCCAAAAAAAAGTCGGGACTTTTCGGATTGATGAATCGTGGACCCCATTTTAGCCAAAGAAGAAGAAGACTTGGAACAGAGTAAACACTGATGGCGAGAGGCATCATATAATCAAGCATCTCCTGCTTAAGCTGCTTCTGCTTATTTTAAGCCGTGTAAGAAATGAGCAAAAAAAAAAAAAAGAACTATTATTGAGATTTTGTGAAGCTAACAATGATCACTAATAGTAGTGACATAAAAAGAAATACTGACATGTTATAAAAGAGAAAAAAAATGAGACATTTTTAGTGTAGATTTTTGAATAACTTAAATTTATGTAGTGATGGAATTAATGTAGAGTAAAGCTAACTTGGATTCTTTCTTCTTTTACCTTGTTATAAAGGAATGCTAGATGCTTAGACGCAACACAAAACAACTTAAGAACATGGAAGGGAGGATTTACTATAATTGTTATTTTTAGATACGACGATCCAAGGGTCGCGAGCTTGCTGCCAATGTGGTTGTACTGGCGGAATGTGTCCGCATAGAGGTTTTTTTTGTTATTGAGATAAGGGATTCGAGGCAGAGCCAGAAGAACCGGCGGTATATTGGGAAGAGAAAGGGATTAGGACCGAAACCATCGTTGAGTTGGTAGTGTAAAGACGGAAGGCAAGAGTCAAGAAGCATCAATGCTTGAACTACTTAAAACTATAAGGGAACTAAACTAGTAACCGTATTGACTATTTAAACATCCAAATAACATATTATGGTCTTGATTGATGGTATTTATATGACTACACCCAACTCTTTTTACTCGCATTTTTTACTAGTTAACTCATGGCAGATTCTAAGGTTTTATGAATATGGATAAAAATAATTTCTTTGCTAAGAAAAATATGCATACGGATATGAGTTTGTGTGTGTAAATGGCTTAGGTCCTCGGTTTATATAAAAAACTATTTTTACTTTTATGTTTTTTTTATTTTGGTGTTAAAGGTACCTGAAACACTGTCACCATATAGATCCAACCCATCCATAATGTAGCTAAAGCATGTGCTTTATACCATATTTTATATACTAAACATATGGGTCACATTACCAATAATTTTAGTCAGTTAAGATTGTTATGTACATTGTGCACATGTCCTTTGTCGTTTTTTCATATGAAACAGTCAAAGTTACTGTTTTTTCTTTCTTAGTAGTTTTTTTCGGATAGATATCTTTTCGAGTTTAAAAATGGTATAAGAACATTTTCATCGGTTACTTTTTAGCGGGTATCTAAAATATTAAAAATAAAAAGTTATTTACAAGGACGAAAGAGAATAGAAATCGGTTCATAGTTGAGAAACGATAGTATACGCATTAGATACTCTCTTGCCATATGTCATCTTTTAAGTGATTTATTTTATTTTAAAAGAAAAAATTCAATTATTTGTTTAAATAATATTAAAATAACAATATTTTGCTATAAGATCTTTCCAACATATGGAGATGCTCTAAGTTGCCAAAATAGACTTAGAAACCCACATACTTTGGCTCCGAATGGAGAAAGCGTATCGGGCGGAGCGGATAAAGCGTACCAAGCGGATCAAGTGGAACAAGTGCGGATCAAGCATATCTGGCGAAACAAGTGCGGATCAAGCGGATCTGGCAGTCCAAAAAAATGTTTGAATGGTGAAAGCGTTTCAAGTCGTGCGGTTTAAATATTTACATAACAAAAAATATTAATTTTAGATAAAATATTTTCAAAAGTTATACAAATTAATATTAAATTAAAATATACTAATTTACAGAATATTATACACATTATAGTAATTATATTAAATTAAAAAATTACTATATTATTTTGCATTTTTGAATATTTATTTTTTCAATTCATTGTAAAAATATTTACATGATTTTGGTATCATTAACATATCTTAGTATTTCAGATACAAAATATTAACACAAAATTCTAACAAGTATAACAAATAAATTTTCTTCTAAACAATTATCTAATTTGTCATTATATATGTATTTTAAAATCAATAAAGATATTTAATTTAGAAAATTTGATTTAAAAATACTATATATATATACATACTTATGGTTATAAATATATCTGTATAAATATAAAATAAGTAGATTTGAATTGAGCTATGAATTAATCAATATAAATATTATGAATTAGTTCAAAAATTATGATATTGAAAAATATTAAAAATGCTAGGAAGTAGGAACACATCACAACCACAACAAATAACCAGAGTTTTTACTGTACAAAGCATATCACATATTTTCTTCATAAAAACTCGTCCACTTTTACTGTGGTGTTCCAAGTTAATTTTTACTTATTATTTTTTGGAAAGTTTCTTGCTTTCTCTCATATGTGTGAATAACAAAATATTTGCGTTACGTCCGCTCCGCCTATGAACCGCTTTTGAACCGATTCTCCATTCAAGCCCTTTTTTTTATATTGATAATATACCTATTACATACTCTCTTGCCATGGGTCATCTTTTAAGTGATTTATTTTAGGGAATTTGGTCAACTCTACTACATTTGACCAAAGCCTTTCCACTTCTACCACATTTGATAATCATTTTCGACTCATACCACATTCTTGTGGTATTGTGGTATAAAAAAGACGGTTTTGCCCTCAGCTGATGTGGCAGATAAAGTGCAATATTTATGGACAAATATCTGGGGGACAATAAATCTATTCGGGGACAATAACTAAACGAAATATAAATATCAAACAAAATGAAAAGACCGCAATTAGAATTTAGGAGAACTAAAATCGAAGAACAATGAATTAAAATCGAGGGACAAAAACCAGCTAACATGCAAAAATAAGATGAAATTGTGGAAGACTCAAACTTCGGGAACAACTGTATGTAAACTTTCTTTTCTGTGCTCAAACAATGAATTTTGTCCTTGAAGTTTGAGCGCACAAAAGGAAGGGCAAAATGGTCATTACACACGGTAATTGTGGTACGAGTGATAAATGGGCCTACAATGTGGTAGAAGGAAAAAAAATTGGGCCAAATGTGGCATAGATGTTAATTTTCTCTTTATTTTATTTTTAAAAGAAAAATTTAATTATTTGTTTAATTAATACTCCCTCCGTTTCACAAAGAGTGTCGTTTTAAGGTTTTAATCTTGTTTCACAAAGAGTGTCGTTTTATGTTTTCAATGCAGTTTTTAAGACTAATTCTCTTTTTTAACCCTACTTTTTCAGTTTATTAATTAGAGAGAGGGTATTATCTAGTATATTAATAAGGGGTAGAAAAGAAATTTGTTTACTTTTTTTAATTTGCGTGAAAAATGGTAGAATGACACTCTTTGTGAAACAGAGGGAGTATTAAAATAATAATATTTTGCTAAAAGATCCTCCCAACATATGGAGATGCTCTAAGTTGCCAAAAGAGACTTAGAAACCCACATACTTTTTTCTTTTTGAAATAGATTATCTTTTCCTAATTTATTTTATAGATAAATCCCAAAATTTGATGCTACAAAAACAAATATATTTTGATATATTTTGTTTATAGTAGATTTTAATCCACCTTGAATAATAGTTATTCATAAATATCCAAGTACATCGTTATTTGAATCTACATGTTTAAGTTTATTAAAATATTTGATATTTTTTATATATATTTAAGAAGATTAACTAGGCATTTTGATTCATTTCTAATTATGTAAATTAATCATAATCATATCAGGTTTTTGGATATGAATTCGCTAATATGAACATAGTTTGGATTGGTTTTGGCCGTTTTCCCTACGAACATAATTATTTTGTTAATTTTACTTCTTCACATATAGATGAAGTGTGAATAATCAACAAAAATCAATTCAAACTAGCGCACTTTAATAATGTCATATTCATCTTTTATATTAAAATCTGATTTCAAATATTTATAAAGGTATGATAACAAATAGTAAGACAATATTATTGAAAAGGACACATACTCACAAAGTTTAGAATATATCATGATTGATATTGAGTTTTACAGTTAATCAAAAACGGTAAGGATTTTTGAACGGGAAAAAGAACAATAAACAATTTTAGAATAGTATATAGAAAACGACAAACGAAATGAAAAAATAAAGCGGAACAAAGAGGTATTTTGCTAAATGAATGAAAAAACCTTTACCGCTTTGACTTAGTGTTATTATAGTCATTTGTCATTGTAAAACCAATAAACTCCTTTGAGGTTAATGTTACCAATCAAAGCTAATGTTTTTGAATTTGGTTGGTATTCAATTGTAAATCATAATAGCAATGTATCACACACATGTGGAAAAAAAATCTAGGGAATTGTGTCTAAAAACCATAGATGGTTTCCTTTTTCTCTTTTCATCTGAAATTTTATTAATAAACCAAGAAAGGATACAAGATAAAATACATATGCCGGCGGACGACATGAATGTCTCCAGAAACATTAGCCCAAAAGAAGAAAACAAAGCACTAAAGTACATGAAAAATGATTAAAAACAAACAACAAACATAGAAACAAAAATTAAAGAGGAAACAAATGTCATGGAGAAAAAACAATCTAAGCACTATATTGAACAAAAACACGAGAAACTCTTACAAAACTTCCCTATAGAACATGTAAACGCCAAAATCACCAACAAGACCGGATAGACCTCATACTGAAGACAAATTAGAAGCAAACCGATAATGAGAAAAGCAAGAACCCAACGCGACCAGAGACACAAATACAACTACCAACACACCTGACTAGCAAATCAGAGAGAGCAAGAAACACTAGGGTAAAGGCAAAACCTTGAAATCGACTGGAGACAAACCACGAAAGCTCAACAATAGATGGTTTCATGATCTAAATTTTTACAATGATGAAAGTTAAAAAAAAAAAAAAAAAATCAGGTTTGCATAAAAAGAAGAACAAAAAAAAAAGTAAAACAAAAATAGAAAGCAAACACAAAACAGTACTCTCTCTACACTTTACTTACTTCACCACCTCACTTCTCTCTCTCTCTCTTGATGACAATGGGCGATTCTAATCTCCGTAAACCTACCAATTTCGGCACCGGACCTCTATCACGGCGACGATCATGGTGTTGCTCTTTCGCCGTACCTCCGGCGAGTCCTGATACTCTCTCAATTTCATCTCGTAACCACATTCCAGCTAAATCTCAGCAGCAGAGACCTAAACCGGTTCCTTGCTCACCGCAAAGCTCTAAATCTGCTTTAAACATCGTAAATCGAATCGACCCGCGTCGGATCTTATCACCGGGTCGGGTTTCTCCCATAGATTCGGATCCCTCCGTCACTACAATGCAAGAGACCGAGACTGAGACCACTCACGAAGAAGAAGATGCTGTTGTTGTAGATTCGCCACCAAATCTGCGTTCAGAGAGTTTTAGAGCTCCGAAGATTGATGTTACTGTCTCAGGTTCGGGTTCGAGTGAGGGTTACGATGCTAGGTTGAGTTTGAAGGGAAGAAATGGTGGGGTTTTGGTTCTGGAGCTTAGCTCGGAGGTTTTGGCTGCGAATTCGGATGTGTTCGCGGGTTTGATTGCGGAGGGCAAAAAGTGTTCTTCTTCTTCTTCATCTTTAGGATTGAAGAACACATGCAGGATTGAAGTTTGTGATGTGGAGAATCTTGGTGTTTTTAGGGAAACTGTTGAGCTTATGTTTGAGGAGAGTAATGGGATTATCAAGAAGTTTATGAAAATGGGTGTCTACAGAGCCATTGATGTACTCGAGGTTTGGGAATTGCTCTTCCTTTTTATTGATTGAGATGGATATTGATGCCTTGATGGGTTTGTTGTTATTACCATAGATGCCTTAGTTAAGATTTAGCTTTTTTGCCTAGTAGGCTAAAACCCTTGAGCCTTTAGATGGATAGATATGGAAAGACCAACTATTTGAATTTTTTTGGCCTTGAGGTTTTGGGAAATAGGTGCTTATTTTAACTTTACCCTGCCATTTCTGTGAAATATTTTTGAGACATTCTTATGATCTTGTGGAGGCCCCAAGAAATGTTTGTGAATGTTGCTACAGGATTTTTTTTTCTACCAAGATACTTTTTGCATGTGTTTGTTGACATATCTGGTTTTTTATACATCTTGTATTTGTTGTCTTCAGTGTGAACACCGTTGTGTGGAACTTTTATCTTTGTTCTGCTCTGCATGTTAGATTGATACTCATTGTTTTCCATAGACAAAGCGTTGTGACTGGTGAAGCTAACATATCTTCTTAACCACAAACAGGTGGCGGCTGGAATAAAATTTTCAAGAGCTGTCTTGTCGTGTCTGAAATATCTTGAAGCTGTTCCTTGGACAGAGGACGAAGAGGAAAAACTGAGGAGACTTCTTGGAATTTATAACTTTGATGCTGCTGCAATTAGCGAAATTTTGGCAAGATTTCATTCAAACGAGACAGAAAACTCACAAGACAGCTTATCAAAGAAACTGGTTTGGTCAATAACCTCCTGCAGTGATGTAAATCCTAGAAACGAGCTCAAATCTTTAGTGAAGGGTCTTCTTTGCAAAAGCTCAGTGTACGAGAAAGAACAGCCTGAGATCAACAAGGAAGACATATATAGAGCAGGCAAGTGTTGTGTGGATTCATTAGTTAAGCTGTTTGAAGAGGGCAGTAGTAGTTGTAGTAGCAAGAAAGAAAAGCCATTGATTGAAAGTATTTCAAGGGAGGTTGAGAACATAAACTGGCTGTTGGAAATCATGATAGATCGGGAAATAGCAGAGGAATTTGTGGAGATATGGGGAAAGCAAAGAAGGCTAGTGGAGATGCATGAGAGGGTATCACCAATGGTGAGGTATGAAGTAAGCAGAGTAACAGGGGCAATTTTCATAGCAATGGGGAAAAGGAGAGTGCAATGCGGAGGAGAAGCAAGGGCGGGTTTAGTAGAAGCGTGGTTCAAGCCAATGTTAGTAGATTTTGGGTGGCTACAAAGATGCAAGAAGGGACTAGACATGAGGGAAGTAGAGGAAGGGATGGGGCAAACGCTGTTAACGCTACCAGTAAAGCAGCAGTATCAAGTGTTCATGGAATGGTTCAGGTGGTTCTCAAAGCATGGGACTGAGTGCCCTAATCTCAGCAAAGCGTTTCAGATATGGTGGCGTAGGTCATTCCTTAGAGGTGTAGAATCATCTACTTGTAGGTAAACAAATTATTCCAAGTTCAAGAGAATATGTATGTTAGGTGTTAGCTCTTATGGAATTTAGACTGTAATATAACTCTCCTTCTGACTTCTCTCCTTTGTCTCCTCCCACATGATATGTTCTTATCGGATGTTTTTTTGGAGCTAAATTAGTCTTAAGGTTTGAAAAAAGCAACAAGCAAAAAAACACAAAATGGTACTTTCTTTCTATTGGCCATTACTATATTTGTGAGCAATTGTTTATGATTTTAGTAGCTTCAATACCATTAAACACAAAAAGCACCATAAAACACAGTTCATATCTTTCTAATTCCATATTACTCTTTTGACAGCAATTGATGAGGAATGAGGAAACTGAATACCAAAACAATGCAAGAAAATTCCTTTTTGTTACATAACCTCAACTATTTATAATAGAAAATTTTCACTTAAATCTATCCGTATGTTTCTCACGATATACATATATGTTTTCACTTAAAAACAGAGGGATACAAACAAAAGAATGGGAAGCAAGAATTGTGGAAAAAAGTTGTAAGAGTGCTATAGAGTGACGATGAGGGAGAAGAAAAATCAGAGAAAGTTAGTCTGCGACTTATTTCTGCTTCTTACCACCGGCGAGAATACGTTGGATCTGGAGACCACGGCTAAAGGCCTGGTTGAAGAGAAGCCTGGTCTGGAACTCAGAGACGAAAGGGAACCATGCGAGTACGGTGACCGGCATGAAGATAACAACTCCCATTATGTACTCATACCCTCTAGCCAAGGCCTTGACCGATCCCCACATTCCTACTGCCTTCATCAATTGCCTCGCCACTTGTGATATCTGAAGCAGAGCCCATCCCGTGGGTAAAAACGCCAACAGAGACTGCATTATGTCCCCCACCGTCAGCTTCAAGAAGTGGAATAGCATCCCCACGATCACCACTGATCCTATGAAAAGAAACAGCTTCAAAAGCCTGAACATAAGCTGGAAATCGGCGCTGAACTTCTTTCTCCCCATTGACACTATCTTTAAGACTATCATCACTGCCACGATCACCAGCCAAGACAGTCCATACACAATGATGCTCTGCTGTTTTCCCATTCTGCTCTCCTTGGTCAGGTTCAAATGGTACACAATACCGTACTGGTAAATGAAGTACCGCAGCGAGAGAAATATCTCCCAGAACTTTCCGAAAAACCCAGAGTGAAGCAGATGCTCTTGTTCTTCTTCCCACCATGATTCCCAGCTTTTGTGTGCTGGCACTCCGATGCCTCCTCTGCTGCTTATCCACTTGTTCCAATCATCCCAGTCATCAACTATCTTCTGCCACTCGAATCCCGAGGGATTGAAAAAGAATGGGGCGAACAACCAGGAACCCACCAGGAACCATGTTGAGCCCATGACAAGCGCATACGCCACCGTGTCCTCTGCTGCTTTCCCATAAATCCTGTAACATATCAGCAGCACCATCAGCTCCATTCCTTTCACAAAGTGGCTTCTCGAATACATTCTGTAGTTCTCTGCAAACTTCTCGTGCTTCACCACAAACCCCCGCCCTGTTGCTCTGTACTTTGCTCCCCCGTGTAGGATGGTCCGACCATAGTAATGGACCTTTGTTCCAAGTGAGAAGGTGAAGAAGACAGGCGCTAACTGAAGCTGCATTATGATTATATCGGACAACGCAGTTCTGAATCCTCTTTCTAGCCCAATCTCCATCACCATTGGTAGTGTCATCAGCAGACCCAATTGCACTACGGACTGTGACGCCATGGCTGCCTTGAGCGAACTATCTCCTTTCGCCGCTGCAAACTTTACTATCGCCTCTTCCACTCCACTCAATGACAAGTAAAGTCTTCCATACAAGAATGCATAAACTGTGAGGACAACAATCTGTAGTACACGTAATTACTCCGTTATGTTTTGTTTTAAGAAAATTAATAATAAACTTATTTTGACAATGGAAGATCAGAAGTTACCATGGAGCTGATGTAGAAGCCTACTGTTGTGAAATAACAAGACATCATGCGGAAAAAATCGAAGCGATGCCCAAGTCGGTAGAGATCCCTACTCAATGTTTGCTCTCCGTTGCCACAAGCAACCTTGGCTTCAAAGAGGGATATCTGGTTCAAACCAACATCTCTTCCTTTGCCTACTTGGATGTACTCATGATGAGTGACATTACCACGCCTCAGAGTTGAGTTGAAACCTATATACATACATGAATCAATCATAAGTAAATGATGAAGGAACCAACATCACTATTTTCCTTGAAGAAGTAAGGTTCAAAATCTAACCAGCAAAGATATCCTCGCTAAGATTTATGCCCCGTGATGCTTTGCTTATGCCACCCCGAGTGATGTGGAAGATTCTATCAAAGACATCAGGGTGACCATAGTGAAACCTTACCCTGAAATCACAAATCCAAGGTGCCTGTGTGAGTTAAATGATATCAAGAAGGAATCACATTTTTACCAGCTACTAAACTTTTACTTAAAATGAAAGAAAGAAGAACATGACATACTTCAAAGGACTTGCCAGGACTCGCTGACCAATGGTCACAAAACTTGTTTCCTGATTTGACATAAACCAGGCTAAAGAAGAAACACTGCGTATAACATACCGAAGTGAAACACATATAAACCAGCTAGCAAAAGGAAGGAAGTTCTTTACTCGACAAAAAGTAATAACCAAATTTCCCAAATACCTGCCAGTAAAAATATGCTCTCTGAAACCAAGAATAGTAGGTGCACGTACTCCATGGTCTTCATTGAACTCTTCCAGCAGATTCCTCATTTTAAGTGCTTCTTCCAAGTAATGGTCCTATAAATTAAATACCATGGTAAGTAAAACTCTTCCAACAAATAAAAGTCCACTATGTTTTTGTTGTGGAAACTTTTGGTTGGGGGAAAGTATTTTACCTGATTCATGTCAATAGCCTGGAGAGCTTCTCCTCTTGTAAAAATGAGAGCATGATTCTGATTTTCGGGTTTTCCTTCTCCAATTTTTGCTGGACCAGGCAGTTTTATCCGATATATTTCCTTGGAAAATTAAGAGATACAAAGTTGGAAATCTGGGGGTTCTAGAATAGGACATAGTGTCTAGCCAATCTGTTAAGATTTCAAATAAAATACCTGATCAAGATTATCAACAGCCTTGATAAGCACCGAGTAGAAAACTTTCTGCACTTTTCCGCCTTCTCGTTCCTCAACCTCATCAATGTATGCTACACGGAGAGAAGGATTGCTGCAGCATTGAATATGAAAGTGAGACTCACCAGGAAACCAACAAATGCTGGAATCTATTCAGAAACGAAGATGGGGGAGGGACTTACTTAACCATTAGGTTCAAGATGTCAGTAGCTCTCCTGTCTCCACTTCGCTTCTGATTTCCATAGTTCTGACAGGTAGCAACATAAGTAAATTTGAGATCTGCCACTGCCTCTAACTGAGTGTACAAGGATCTCTGACTTTTCTTGTCCTCCTCAGTTGGCTCTGAAATGGCTTTGTACCCTGCTAATATTTCTGTAAACACAAGAAATGTTATAAGTACGTATTCCAGAATGTTGAAAATATGTTCGATATAACTATGAATACTTCACACAAATGATCAACATTGCGCCTGTATTTTGATAGTAGAATGTAAGAATGACATAATACAGCAAGTTGAAAACACTTGAACGTTTCAATCTGTGCAGCTGATTTTAGTTCAACACAAGTCAAGTAATCACGTCTCACCTGTTTCATTAGCCATGTCAAGAAAAGCCTGAAGCTTAAGTGCCCGCCTGTAATACATCATTCCTCTAACTGCAGGATAAAAAAAGGTGTAAGCGAAACAAAAACCATATAACAAAATATAAATAGGCGTGGATGGTATAATTTACCAGTTCTAAACAAAGTCTGTCCCCTCAAAGAAACCCAATGGCGAAGCTGTAATATATTTTCTTCACTCTCCAAAACAGAAGTTTCATCTTTACAACCAAGCCGCTCCAAGAAGTTAGTCCACTCATCTGAAATGGGGGGCCATATAAATTACCGAAAGCATTGAGAAGTAACTAAGTCCAAAAACAAGAGCTCATCAATTAGACATACCTGGAAAGATCTTCTGCAAATAGTATACAACTGATACACCATCTTCATTTTCCATTTCCAGGTCGTTCTTAGAGTAGACGGTTTCCTCACTATAGTACGGAGTCAGAACACTGTAAATGCAAAAAGAAAACTCTAAGTTTAATGATAAGGAAGAGCTCCTCTCTGGAGTAGGCATTCATAACAGTTCCATAGCATCAGCTACATGGATTTTATATTGTATATTCATTCCAGCTCAAAGAAAAACAAAATGTGAAAAAAAACTGGAAAAGATGGATTCCTAAACTGTAGAAAAATCGAAATTGGAGAATATAGATAGCTCATGGTATCCTACAAAAAGAAGCATAAATTCTGTTCAAAAATAGTGATAACCGGAGCACAGACCTGAAGGACAGCATATTTCTGACACGTGGAGCTCGCGGCATATCCATAAACAGTGAATTTGTGAAGAAGGCAATCCTTCTTTGCGCTTCAAGGTTTGTCGGAACATCCATTGCAGATTCTTTTACCGTCAAGAGTAAATGCAGGCGACTTATCTACAACAATGAATTAAATCATTATTTTGAAATGGTCTACAGAATGCAGAGTATCTCTAAGGATTAGCCTTTATATTTTGTTTTGAGCTTTTACCTGTTCATCCCATTGAGCTGTTGCCACTGGAGGAAACAGTATAGCAGGTTTTGCGTCAGTACCAGCAAAGAGTTGCCTTCCGGATTCCTTGTTAGTATGCCCAAGTTCTACCAATTCACTGAAGAAAGGTGGCACCCATGTTTAATCTTGTTTGTGTGGTTACTATATACATGTACATAAAAAGAACTTTCGAGTTCTCTAACTATAGATATATTAGCTCACTAACCGGTTTTCATTTTGCATCATATCTCGAGTCACTACTTCTAACATATCTTGCAACAATAGCACCAATGTGTCTCTTTTGGCTGGGTCCGCATTTTTCTGCAGCATCATAAGTTATATATAACTATTTAGTTTCCTAGATAACATTTCACAAGTATTATCCCTTCCA